GTCGGTGCAGCAGCAGCCCTCCCACGGCTCCGTCTGTCTCCGCAGGCTGCTGGGCGGTGAGGGGGCCTGGCACCGTGCGGGGATTCCCAGGGACATCCATCTTGGTGAACTGCACATACCGGTACAACCAGAAGAAGATGCCGAAATTCTGGTGCAAACCGGGATTAATTTCTACCTGTGTTAAAGACTTCGTCATCACCTCGGAGCAGGAGCCCGTGGTGCGGCGGGGCCGATTCTCCATCGAGGACAATCGGGCACAGCGGATGTTCATGGTCACCATGGAGGACCTGGCCAAGGAGGACGAGGGCACCTACCGCTGTGGGGTGCGAACGGGCATAGGCCGGTTTGATGATCATGACGATGTGAACGTGACTGTATTCCTAGGTCAGTACTTGTGTTTCCCCCCTGCACAGCACCAGTGAGCACCACGTTGGGGGGCCGGGGCCAGGCTGTGGGAGGAGATGGTACCCGGGAGGTGGGGGTGTGTGGAGGGAGTGCCATGAGTGGAGGGGATGGAGGTCGTGGCTCTGAGGTAGAGCCACAGGGAATGGCAGAGCCACAGGGAACCGCAGAGCTCCCAGGTTGTTCCCTGCAGGGGAATGGACCCAGGGGCAACTGCACAGGGACATGGAGCAGCCCAGAGCCTGGCCCGGGCAATGCTCAGGGCAGGGACCCTTTGCCCACAAAGAGCTGCTGTTGGGGGCCAGGGTTCAGGGCCAAGCACAAATCAGGGACAGGGACAGCTCAGTTGTGTCTCCACCAAGGACCACCCCCAGCACCACTAAACTAGAACTGCTGTTGGCAATAAAGCTGTCTCCTTGCCTTTACTAAGGCCAGAGCTGTGAAGGTACCGGCAGTGGGTCCGTGTGTAAGGCTTTGGTCTGAGCCGGGACCATCCCATGGCTGTAGGAGAAAGCATGGGTGACACCCAGCATGGGTCTGGTCCCTGCACATGGGCTGTGTTTGTCCTGCCTGTCGCCACCTGTCCTCAAAACCCTCCTCACACATAGGAGGTTCTTCCAAAGGGTTTGCCCCTCACAGAGCAGGCTCTGCAAGTTGCTGATGGGTGGGAGGGAGGACACTGTGGAGGTCTGCTACTTCCAGCAGATGAGGGATGGGGACAGAGAGAAAGCCTGGAGAGACCCAGTCAGGGCACTGGGCATGGGGCTACTGGGCGACAGCAGTGCTGTGCTGGGGACAGCTGAGGGGGACGTGCTGGGGGCAGGAAGGGGACCCAAGGGGTCAGGGGCAGGAGTGGGGCCAGGGGTGGGACAGCAGGGCTCAGGGGACAGTGCATGGCGGTATTCTCAGTCACAGGGGCATCAGGAAGTCAGCTGAGATCAGACGAAACAAAAACCACATGCTCTTGAGAAATTTCCAGCATCAACGGTGTCATATCCCACACAGAAGAGGAAGCAAAGCCCCAGAGACACAACGAAGAAGGAGAGTGAGGGGCAGGAGGGCTGCCCTGACGTGCGACACGGGCGAGCCTGCCCATGGGGCTCCTGCTGCTCGCCTGGATGCTGCTGCCAGGTAGGGCTGAGGCTGGGGCTCAAGTCCCACCCTGAGCCAACCCCATGGGGCAGGAGGTGTCCCTGCAGCAGCAGCGCTCCCACGGCTCCGTCTGTCTCCGCAGGCTGCTGGGCGGTGAGGGGGCCTGGCACCGTGCGGGGATTCCCAGGGACATCCATCTTGGTGAACTGCACATACCGGTACAACCAGAAGAAGATGCCGAAATTCTGGTGCAAACCGGGATTAATTTCTACCTGTGTTAAAGACTTGGTCATCACCTCGGAGCAGGAGCCCGTGGTGCAGCAGGGCCGATTCTCCATCGAGGACAATCGGGCACAGCGGATGTTCATGGTCACCATGGAGGACCTGGCCAAGGAGGACGAGGGCACCTACCGCTGTGGGGTGCGAACGGGCATAGGCCGGTTTGATGATCATGACGATGTGAACGTGACTGTATTCCTAGGTCAGTACTTGTGTTTCCCCCCTGCACAGCACCAGTGAGCACCACGTTGGGGGGCCGGGGCCAGGCTGTGGGAGGAGATGGTACCCGGGAGGTGGGGGTGTGTGGAGGGAGAAGAGCGGGTCAGAGCCCGGCAGGCACCTGCTGCATCTGTCCCCTCTTCACATTTGCAGCCCCGACGCCCACGGCGGGG